CCCCGCGCCAGCCACTGTGCCACCCAGCCCCGCCCCGCCCCGCCAGCGCACGAGCAGTAGTGCCGCCCACTTTCCATCTCCTCTATTCCGGATGTGCCCTCATGGGGACCTCCCGCCTAGTTCTGGGTTGGGTGGACAAATGGTTCATTCACCACCCATTCATTCAGATGGCCCCCTGTGTGCCGGGTGCAGGACACCAGGACCCTTTGGGGGCACTCCCACACCAAATGTGACTCAATGGGCTTTGTTCACGGGTCTTCTCTTAAGTACGAAAAGGGATGAAAACTGGATGGCGATGCCATAACTACTCTCTTAATCTATTTTCTGAAAGTGTCCAGGAGAGGACAGTTAGGATTTCGTGGCATGGTGCACAGGTCCTGTGAGGAAAGGCGCAGAGAGAGGACATTGCTCAGCAGGAGCAATGAGGTGGAGGAGGCAGCAAAGGCTTCCAAGGGCAGGGGGTCCCCGACCCGAGTGTTAAAGGACAAGTAGGAATTACACCACTTCCAGTGGGATGGGATGAGGCTCCTAGCCAGAGAATACAGGGATCAATCAGAGGCACAGTCAGGGTGGGCAGAGGAGGGTGGGGGTCAGAGGGTCTTGGCAGGGTTTGAGGGTGGACAGCTGGATGTGGCCTTGCTGGGAGGGTAATGCCTTCTGCCCTGGGGGTGGTGGGGAACCTTCCAGGGTTTCAGGCAGGGAGGTATGATTGGATTTGCTTGATGGGAAGATGCCCTCAGCAGGAGTGTGGAGGATGGATCCCAGGGTCAGGAGTGGAGCAGAGGGAGCAGTTGGCAAGGTGCAGCCAAGTCCCCACTCAGCATGGAGAGCAGAGGGTGGGCAGGAGGGATTCTCCTGTCGGGATGGGCCAAGATGTGGCAACCCCTCAGGTGGGAGGGAGAGGAGTTGTTCCAGTTCCTGCAGCAGGTGTTGCTGTAAGGGGATTAAGTCTGGAGGAGACGGTGAAAAGTTCCATTTTGGATATGCTGGGTTTGAGGTTCTTGTGGGACTTTTCAGTTCACTTATTTCTCCCACAAGCGTTAGTCACCCTGGGTGTGGGTCAGAGGGCAGGGTGTGTTTGGTCACTGACTCAGAGCTTCTGAGGGAGCTGACTGCACCCAGACACAACCGGAGCTGCCCCGGGCCCACCTTTGTGCAGAAGCACCAATCTCAGAGAGGGGGAAAACTTTGGGGATAAAAGAGAGAAGAGTGGGTGCTTCCTTCTTCTCTCCTCTGGGTCCCTATTGACGTCTGGGTGGATGAGGTCCCTGTAAGCCTTGACATGCCACCATAAGAGCTGACCTCTGCTGAAGATGGGGTGACAAGGCCATGAGGAAACAACTGTAGGGTCTGTCTCAGGCCCTGCTCAGTTGTTGGCATCAGCCCTCCCAGGTGGACCATCTGCTGGAAGGTGAAGAGGCACTACCATGGGGACTTCTGGATGTGTGTAAAGTCAAAGAGACGGTGGATCTGTAAGGCCCCTTGCAATGCTGCTGCCTGTGAATTTCCCGACGGGGATACAAACCAAGCCATTGTCAGAAGCAATCATGTTTAGCAGTTTGTGTGAAGCAAATGACAGGTGCAGAGCTGTGTTGTGCCACAGGGGTTTAGGGTGGAGTTAAATGTACTTATATCAGAACAAAGCCAAGTTTATCACAACTGAGCTGTTTCTTCCCTGGAAGGGCCATCTCCTATGAAAAAGTAATTTCTGCTGCATAGATGAGCACAGGGCTTCTGTTCAGAATGGATTTCTTGGCCACCAGACACAGTTTCTAACCTACACTTTTGTGAAATAGTTCTCTGATGTGCTGCACATATTGTAACCAAGATAAAATGAAAACTTCTTCTGAGGTAACATTACTTTTCTGTAAGAGACATTCTTTGCCTCAGATTATTACTACATAGTGTCTAGCATTATCCTGGAGGTCCAAGCCAATGCTGTAAGGAAAGAAAAATAAATGAGATATTTAAACATTGGGAAGGAAAAGGTAACACTGCCATTATTTAAAGTTGATATACAAAAAATTCAACCAAACACACACACACACACACACACACACACACACAATGACCAACTACTAGAACTAATAGGAGAATTCAGCAACTTCACTAGACACACATATCAACTTTAAAAAATCAATCAAATTTTTCTACATCTTTGATAGCCAATTACAAAAAATACAGTAATGAAAAGAAGAGGCCATTCGCAGGAGCAGCCAACCTGTAACATAATTGCCTGTAGACAGAGAAGCAGTGCAGTGCTTGAGAGTATGGACTCTAAACTGTTTGAGTCTTGGTTCTGCTCCTTACTTGCTGTGTCTGGGCTCAGTTTCCTCATCTGGAAAATGATGATAATAAAAGTACCTACAATATAGAGTTGTTGTGATTATTATGTGAGTTAGGGTAACCATAGAATAGTCTTTGAGGAAAAATTTAAAAGTCTGATCAAGAACAGAGAATGATTTAACTAAATAATTCCATACCCTTGGGCGGAAGGTCTCCATATCTACAAAAACTCAAGTCTCTTTTAATTAACTCACATATTCAATGCAATCCCAACACAAACTACAAATAAATTTTATGAGAAACTTAATAAACCTACTCTAAAATATATATGTAAGAGTAAAAGTGTATGAATAGCTAAGTTAAACTTGCAAAGGAATAATGACAAGGGGGACTAGTCCTACCAGATATAGACATGGTTCAAAAAGACATAATTAAAAGCAATAGAAATAAAAATACTGGTATTGGCAAAAGACATACATATGGACCATAGAGAAATTAGAGACAGAGTTGCATACATGGGTATTTAGTATAAGGTACAGATGATATGAGGAAGCATGGAATATTTAGTAGAAAATGCTCAGTGTGTGGTGAAAAATAAAACTGGAATCCAACCTGAAACAACATACAGAGGTGAATCCCCTTGGAAGTGAATTAAAGACTAAATGTGAAAAGTACAACTGCTACAGTAGTAGAAGAAAATGTAGAGGACATCTTTTTCACCCAGGAGTGGGAAGGACTTCTTAAAAGCATCAATAGCCCCAAGCCATAAGGCAAAATATCAATAAATTGGACTGAATAAAAATTAAGGATTTCTGTTGTGTGAATTCCTGTTAACCATGGATCAAGGTAACAGTCAGCTGACAAGATGAAGAAGATATTTTTCAATGTCTAAAACCAATAGGAGGGGGCTGGCTGGTTAGCTCAGTTGGGAGAGCATGGTGCTGGTGACACCAAGGTCAAGGGTTCAGATCCCACACCAGCCAGCTGCCAAAAATAAATAAATAAAACCAATAAGAGAACGTACAAGGAACTCCTGCATATTAGCAAGAAAAAGACAGAAATCCTAATGAAAATGTGCAAAGCTCATGAACAGGCAACTTACAGAGGAAACCCCAAAGGTTAATGTGCACAATAAAATTATCAGATATATTGTGATCAGAAAATACAAATGAAAACAAGAGTGAGATATCACTTTATATCTCTTAGACTGGCAAAACTAGAACATTGGATGCTGACAAGTATCGGGGAAAGGTGGGACTCCAGAATCTGTCGGACAATGTGAGTAGTACAGCACAGCTATTTTGGAGGGCATTCTGGTGTTCCTTGGTCAGATTAAGTATATGCACACCCAGTGAACCAGCCGTTCTACCTTGAGTGTGTATCCCCCAAAGATTTTCATACAGGCCCGAAAAGCGACGTGAGTGATGTTCATTAAGTCATTGTTAGTAGTGGTGGGGAGCTGGAGGAAATCTAGCTGCCCACCACTGGGGGAGTAGGAGGTAGAAGGGATCCACTTCACAGAGTATTCTGCAGCAGTTACAGTAATGGACTAGATGTACATATGGCAACATGGACATATCTTACAAATATAATACTGGATAAAAATGTAAAGGTGAAAACAGAATAAGATCTGCATAAAATATTGTAGGTAGACAATTAAAACCCTTGGGGCTAGATGTACATATGGCAACATGGACATATCTTACAAATATAATACTGGATAAAAATGTAAAAGTGAAAACAGAATAAGATCTGCATAAAATATTGTAGGTAGACAATTAAAACCCTTGGGATCAGAGTTGTTTTGGAATTCAAAAAATTTGGATTTTAGAAAGGGAAGAGGCAGCATCCCATGATACAATATTTCTGCAGCAAAATGTAGGAATAGTTACACGAAGTGGACAAAGACACACAAATAACTTGACTTCGGTCAGATTTTGCTGCTATGTTTATGAAAAAACTTTTGGAGTCCAGAGCTGCATAAGTTTAAGAATTGTGGATACAGGATTGTAGACCTTTATTTACTTAAATGAGAAGAATATATTCAAAATAGTACACATTATACAAAGACACGAACAAAAGGATGTACGAGCATCCTTCAAAAAGTTCATGGAAAGATTCTTATTACCTTTCGATTGTGTTTTCCATGAACTTGTTGAAGTACCCTCATATGTTAAACACGT